AATTAATAATAAAAGACGCCATCTGCGTTTTTAAGCAGTTAGCTTAAAAAAAAAAAAAAAAAAAAAAAAAAAAAAAACTGAAGCACAAAAACTTATTTAAAAATTTCAAATAAAGAAGTAACATAAACCTTTAATAGTACTACTAGACTATTAGAAGTTTCTAAAAAAGAATAATTAAAATGAATTAGACAACAATATGTGTAGAGAAACATATACAAATCAGGCTACTAGAATCTGTTAAAGAAAAAGAATCTTAGAATACCATACTAGGCCATCTAAATTAGTAGTTTGAAAAGTCTTGTAGGTTTAAAAGTAAAAAATAAAAGTTGAAAAAAAAGATATCAGAGTTCTAGTAAACTTTACAAAGATATAGCAGTTTAATGATTAGTTCTAACTGCAAATGATGATCTAGCCTAAAGTAATATCATGTTAGCTGTAAATATAGAATACAAAAAACTTTAATAGACTTAGTACAAAGTTAAATATAACTTAGTGATCATAGCATATTTGCAGTTAATTTGCAATTAGTAAAATAAGGATAGATATAAAAACTAGAATGTTTAAATAGAGAATTTATAGATGGATTCTAGATATGGCAACTAATATAGAACTTTCAGGTAAACTATTTAAAATAAACAATGACTAAAGTTGTACAAGTGGCTAATTGTATACTTTTTTTATAATTGTCTCTATAACTGTTATATACAATAGTTATATGCTAACAGATTGCCAATAAACTTCTAAATCGCAAGTACTTATCTTAATGTTAAAAAAAAATTTAATAATAAAAATCTTGAGTTTTTAATTATTTATACAATGCATTTGTATTTTGTTAATATACTGTATCCATTAATTAGTTGCTTTTTATATTATAAATTTTTTTTAAAAATGATAATAATGTTTATTGATATTAGATTCATTATTTTAACAGATAATATTATTCTAAGTTTGAATAATATGTACAATAACATGATCAAACACATTATATAAATAGTTTTTTTATAAAATTCTATTTATAAATATGTGAAATTTTAAGTTTAAAAAAAGATTAAAACCAAATTGACAAATTGATAAATAATTATAATTGAAGTTTATAATAATCATATTATAAACAAGTCTATATACTGTATATAAAAATTAAAAAACTACAATGTTTCTAAAACAAAAGAGAATAAAAAATAAAATATTTAACACAATTTATTTATTGTTTTAATAATATTTTTTATAAAGAATTTGTATATATTCTTATTTTTAAAGATTGAATCAGATTATTTTTCTTTTAATATTTTGAATAATAAATTAATTTTAATAAATTTTAGTATTTTTTTGATATTATTTTTTCTGTTTTTATTAATATTTATATAATATATATTATTAGTTAATCAATATTATTATATAAATAAAAAATAAATAAATTCTAAACAAATCTTACTACTTGCTTTCCTTAGATCTAATAAATAATATTAATATAAAAATATCTTAACTAGTGTTTCTATAAATCTGAACTAAACTAAACTTTGATCAAATTCAAATTTAGATTTAGTATTGAATTTTTAATTCAAGTTCAGATTCAGTTTAAATTTATAAATTTTAAGTTTAATTCAAGTTTAGGTTTAATAATTTGTAAAATTTAAAGTTTAATTTAGGTTTAAGTTCAATAATTTGCAAAATTTAAAATTCAATTCAGGTTCAATGAACTTAATTCATGATTTAAACTGAACTAAACTAAATTTAAAAACACTAATTTTAGATTTTTTTATCAAAACTCAAAATTAAGTATCTTTTTTTTAAAATTAAAAATTATAAAATAAATATATACCAATATAATGTATTTTTGTATATAGAACAAAAGTACTTAAAGAATAAAGATAAAATTAATTAGTAAAATTTCAATAATTATAATAATTTTCATAATTTTATTAATAAAATTATAAAAAATATTATAATTCTTAAAATTTTATTAATTAATTTTATCTTTATTCTCTAAGTAAATTTGTTTTATATATAAAAATATATATATATAATATTGAACCTGAACATGTTCATGAACTTTGAACTGAACCTGAACTGATTATATGTGAATTGACATAGTCTGTCTCTGTGAGCAACCACAACTTCTGTGACTTACTTGTTCCAGTATGATGTGCAAGCCAGGTCTTTTAAAGTTGATATCACTTCTAATGTCTGAGACAAGCCCATGATGAAAACACTTAGTAAAAAAAAATAATTGTTACCACTCAAGATCTGCCTTCTGTTTTGAACTTGAAACTTACACATAGACGTAACTTTTTGACATAGAAGAGGAAGAGGAACCCGCAATATTTGAACCATTGTAAAATCGCACACCACCTGATGAACGAACTGCTGCAATTTTACCTTTGCGATGCCAGTGACAAAGTGTACATGAGAAAACACCAAGGGTGGAAGAAGATTGGGTGGCAATAAGGAACTTTAAATGAAAATTAATTCGTGAAAAATTTTAAAGATCGAAATGGAAATTTAACTTTAGCGATTTTTAAAAATGTGTTAATCACCTTTATAAGGAAAGCGAAGACTAGTCTGAGAACTTACTAGTCATGACTAAGCATGGTGTCATTAACGGGTTTGAATAGAACCCATACTTAGGCCACAAAATATTTATGAGGCCCCCCCAAAAAAACCACAGGAGACAGGCCAGATCGAGCCTTAATTTAAAATTAAGACCGGCCCAAACAGGCCTACAAATACTGATACATATTTGATAAAAAATTTTGGGTCGAATAAATTTGGTTGCAATCTGTGTATTTCTATTCTTGATGTCACTTTTAAAATCAAAATCATCAAATACTAAATATGAATGCTGCCAAGAGAAAAATAAACTTCAGGCTTTCAAGTTTATCCTTTATTTTTTATCAGATTCAGCTCTGATTATATACGTTACCAGTAGGGCTGAATCCAGTAAATAATCAATGACAAAATCGGAAATCTGAAGTCAACTTTCTACTCTGGCAATCATGAATGATTGCGTTCCTAAAAAATTATCTGGCAATTTAAAATCTTATCTGACTAACCCGGTCGGGATATGTTTTTAGAGGGCACATTTACTGAGGGTTTACCGGGCATTGTTGGGCCACCCTGGGCTTGTTCAAAAGGCTCAAGCCCGACCCAGTGTTTAATGGGCCTAACCCAAACCTGGCCCATAAAAATATTGGACCTAAAAATAAGAGCTCAAACCAAAACCCTACTCAATTGTGACAAAAATTATGTATCTAATATATGCTTATTTTAATATGTAATTAACCCAAATTATTTAGTATCTTTATTAAATTAATTTTCAACAATCAAATTTTATCCAAGACATGTTTTAGAATACAGTCAACGCTTGAGATAACGAGTTTTGTATAGCGAGTATTTTGAAATAAAGAAAATTTTTCGCATCATAATTGTGTCTGAACATATAAATTTGTCTTCTAATAACCGAATATTTCAATATAGCGAAACCACTAGATCAGAATATGGTCTTCGCTATATCGAGCTTAAACTGTATATATTGCAATTACCTGTCTATTTTATGTTATGAATTGGCTTGTTTAATGACTTCTCCATATTTATTCACAACTTTTAAAAAATATTTTGGGCTCAGAAATCCATTTACACCCTCCGTTAATATAACTCCATTAGCTGATCTAAAAAACTTCATGCCGTCTTTTATAATTATGATGTTAAAAACAAAGAGAAAGTTTGAACTTTAAGAACGATTCTGAAGTAAAATAATACCAACCTTCCATAGCCTTTGGTGCATCGATATATATGAACAAGTCACAAGTTTTTCTCATACCTCAAAAAAGATTATACTGAATTAAAGGCTACCAAGTTATAAGCGTGAGTCAATATCACTTACCACTTATAACACCTTCATCTCCAAATAGCCCAGTAGCCAAGTGAATATGATTGCGTTGCATCCTTGAAAGGCCTTGTGATTCTACCAAAATAACATCAATTTAATTAAATAAAAAATAAATAAAAAATACGGGACTTGCTAATCACATCAAAATAAACCTATATTTTTCCAATTGCGTAAATATGTTCCATGTATTATTTCTGGAAATTGCAAAGGGTCCGTAATTTCTTCGAGCTCCAAATTTTTTACCTACAAATTGCAAAATTACTGAGAAGAAATTCAAAAAGTAATAAATAAAGGATAATACCTCAATACTATGTCCTTGATTTGCTCGTATCCACCACGAGGAAACGCCATCATCTGATGATTCTTGCGTCAAAGTAAACCGTTTCTTATCATTATTATCAACGACGAATTCAATATCATCAAAAGTCGTTCCTTTGAATCTCGGTAATCTCAACTGGACCCGTAAGAACAATCTGGTGAATAAATTTTTACTCGGATAAAACACGAAAAAAAGCCAATTTTAGTTGAATCATACCAAATCGTCTAGTTTGACATATCCGTCCCCACGAATATTTAAACCTTCGTCTTTAGCATGGTGACGAAGGACATACGATAAGGATTTTGACAATTTTACAAGCGAAGTTTCATCGTGACGTTTTTTTTTGTTATTTCGTGAAGACATTATTTGATAAGACAGAATAATACAATACAACAATCAGGAACACTTGCTTTCCAGAGGTTTGGTTTAATTCAGTACTTGATTGCAGATCAAGCATGATTGGCTGGCATATCATGCCTTGTCATGAAATCTTTACGAAAATTCTTTTTTTGAAGTAACATTGCAGCCTTCCGGTTGTTCGTATAACCGGATGATATTTTTTTGTGAATACATCCTTCAAATTCTAAAGTGTCGTTTAAAACTTTCAGACATCTATAAATCAAATAGGAAAAGGTAGTTCACTTATACGTAAAAACAGGAAAAACTAGAAATATTTTAAACCGAGAACTTAGTAACTCGAGATTATTCAACTAATTATAAAAAAAAATATTTTACTATTTACTAAGCAAAAATACTCTCAAAACTGAGAAACTTCGCTTAAGAGACAAACCATACAAAGTTATACTATAAAGTAGTTACATATAAAAGTCAAAATTGTATTAATTAATTTATATATATATATATTTTTTAATCTTAATGGTGAGGTAGGGTTCAGGGCATGGGAAAAAAACTGGGCATGCCCTTTTTAAATCATGTGATTAACACATAGTTCACAACTTCTTAAAAATCTTACATGTTGATTTAGTATCTACGGTTCTAGTTTACTTGAACTTATTAACCAATTAAATAACCTTAAACATTATATGACAATGGCATGCCCTTTGGACTTGAGGCATGCTTCATGCTTCTGTGCCCTAAACTCTATAGTGAGGCCATGCCTTAATGTTTATATTTTAAGTTATTTGGAACAAATTATATATATTTTAAAAATTTTATTTAATTTTGATAACTTTTTATTAAGATATTATTGTATTTTACATTGAATTTTATTAATCATAACCAAGTATAGCAGACAATCTTGTGATTGATTAATTTTTGTAGATTTACTTATGATTGCCTGTAATAATTAACCAATCAAATTACTGTACATAATTTTAAAACATTTATATATATAGATATATATTTTTTCTTTCACTTAAGCAGTTTTGCTAATTATCTTTATTATATATTTCTGCATTATATACATACAAATTATTGTATAAATTCTGGCTCAACATTACACAGATACTTCTATAAGTCTTTATAAGTGATTTGCCTGCACTGATTGTCTAACTTCAAAAGAAATTAGAATATCAAAGGTTACATTTGACTACTGCTCTACAATAGAATGTTGTCAATTTGATAACATCTTCATATAGAGAAATAAATAAAAACAAAAAAAAAAAACTTATATAGAAGGGTGTGGCAACCTAGTGAAGTGGTCAGATTGTCAACCTTTCAAGTGGTAGATTGGGTGTTCAAATCCCATCGATAGCAAAAATTTAGATAATCTCTATATAATATTTATATTATGACAACTGCTACTAATGATTGGGTTAGAATACTTGTAATAGCGGTTACACTAGCATGACTGGCAGGTCATAGGGCATCTATGTAAGTATGGCATTACACAGAGAAATGCAAACTGACAAATCAGGCAGTACAAACACTAGATAAGTCCTTGTGGTCATATAAATCCATTAAAATTAGGTAACAAGAAGTTCATTTGGAAAGATCTAAATAGAGAGGTAGCTAGATCTTTGACAGCCTTACTGTAAAGGCTAGCTTGAGGAAACAGATACCAAGGTTATAGTAACCAGTCATAGTAACTGGACAGGTAAGAATCTTCAGGTTGGGAGTCTTAGGGTTATCACCAACTAGGTCACCAAAACAAATTAGAGGAAAAGAATATTAGGCCAACTCAATATACTAATGGACTAGTCATAATCCTATACGGACTATCTGAATTAGAAGTTTGGTAAAAAAGCAGAAGTATACTAAAGTACTGAGGTTATGCTATGAAGTAGATGCTAGAGTCTAAGTGAACTCTATAAGGACATAGTATTTAATGATCAGCTTTGATCGCAAGTGTTGGTTCTGTTATAGCAATATCTAGGTCAGCGTAAAAATAAATACAAAAGGTTCTGAAAGGTTTACTTCGAGGATAAATTAGTCCTAAGGTTGAGATAATAATCTGAACATCTGAATATGATCCAGTAAGTTAACACAGATTACAGATTCAGAAGGTTTAAAGTAAAACACCTAAACAGGAATGTTAGATACAGCAATTGGTAGGGAACCTTTAGGTGGACTTTTTAAATAGGTAATATAGAAAAGTTATATGTGTAGCCAATTGTACTCTCTTCTGTAGTAGTTCATTGAACCGCAATACTGATAAATGATTAATAAAAGTTAAAAAACCAAAGAGGTCACCTTAATAAAAAAAAAAACTTATATAGAAAAAAAACACAGAAGTATAGACGTAGACAATAAAAGATACAAATACAAGAAATAAAAGAAGGAAAAAGAAGAAGTAAGAAAAAAACAAAAAAAAAGATATGTGTGATTCTTGTCATATGACTATTAAATATTTATAATTATAAGTCTATATTAGGTTTTTAAAAATTATAAACTATACTAAATAGAATTAACTTTACTATTTTCTATTTATTTAGAATATATAACAAAAACTATATAAGATAAAACTTTGACTTAGATATAGAGAGTTAATATAGGACACTGGTTAGTTCAAAACTAGTATTTTATAGATTTCAGCAGTTTGAGACATGTATATGAGTTGTGTTTGTGTTATCGTATTGTTTCTGATCTATATAATAATAATTTCATTTAAGAAGTAAATACTAATGACTGTTTTGGTGATTTTATATATTAATCTTTTAGAAAGAATAAATTTAAATTGCCTATTTTTAAAAAATTTTTCTTGAAGAAAAGTAAAAGACAACAATTTTTTATTTTTTTTTAAATTCCCACTGTCTGGTTGCTAGTGGGCTGCAGTTGGCGGCTATTTTATTAGTTCAAATTTTCAAGTTCACAGAACCTTCTATCAGGACCCCATCTATATTTTATATTTTTATTTATATATATTTTACAATACTATTTATATACTAATTTTGTGTTCCTATTACCCTGGAATTTTACTAGAACTATTTCTAATCAGGGATTTCTTTGTTCTATTATTATCATCAGCCCCCTAATCATTACAGCTTTCTTATGTCAGGTCCATCACATTTAAGGATCTGGGTACCAAAGTCTTCCTATTTTTATAGTGCATTACCTGCTATAATTAATCAACAATCATAGTTCTAACTTAGTTTTCGGCCCCTGTTGGACTTGAACTAGCAACCTTGCGATTGGTAACCTGGGAGTGTAACTACTTCACTATCGACCTGCAGATCTGGACAACAATTTTTATATATAGTTCTTCAAATAAGTTTTATAGTTATATAGTAGTTGCTTCAAGTTTTCAATAATCCTAGCTTGGGTTTTTATATAATTGTTTTTAGAATACCCTTCTAGTTTGAATGCCAAATGGAGAGAAGAGTCTACCAAAAAGAAAATTTGACCTTTCTTCAAACAACTGCAAGAATGCCAGCTTCTTAGTATTTCACATCTATTTTGGTTTTATCAACAACAACTTACTTCATGTAAAACCAGAAGTATTTCTTTCTTAACCTTGTTATAATATTTTTTTATAGTTCAGTTTGTTGTTATTATTGGTTAAAAAATCTAAAATATTTATAATAATTTATTAAAAATTTATTAAAAATTTATTTTATTTTATTTTTTTAAAAATTATAATTTGGTGCATTATGCATCATAATATACTCATTACACTTTAAAGTAAGTATATTAGCATATAACAGATTTTTAGTATTATATAAATTATATATATCATTTATATATATTTATTTAAATTACATAAAAAGTGCATTATAGTGCAAATGTACTATTTTAAAAAATCATTTTTTTTGGTATCAAAGTAAGGCCTTGCTTATATTTTTATTAGTAATTTTAGTTTTATATATTAATATATTATTATTTAACTCTTTTCTGTAGATTTTTTGACTAAAATTCACAGAAAGCAAAAATATAAAATAATATTAAAATACAAGCAAACAGCACTTAGAGCACTAAGAAAAAAGATAAAAGCTCATAAAACACAATTAACCAAGTTGGAAAACAAGAAATAAACTAGAGCAGCAGCAAGTAACAGCAAAAAAACAAAAATTTTCAATAAAATTGTAAAGTTTATTGTTAGAAAAATGTGAATATATTTCTATCTGGTTTCTGCAGATCTATTGGTTATACAAAATCAAAAGTAAACAAAGACATGTGCAACAAATCAACAAACAAAAACACATAAATATAAACAAAAGTAATATGTAAGTAGTATACAAAGTATATGAATATAGAAGTATAAAAAAAAGTACAAACAATATGATAACACAAATGCAAATAGAAGAGTTAATAATATTAAAATTAGTAAAAGAAAGAGCAAGTGTAAAATTAGAGCAAATAAATAGTAAAGAATTAGAATTAGAACTAGCAGACAGAGATAATCTGTTTAATGTTAGAGCTGTCATAGCAGCAATATTGTTAAAAACTGATTTGATGAAGGCAGTAATGTTAAGAAAAATATATAAAGCAATAATTAGAGTTGATATAAGTAATTCAAGTAGTATAAAGAAATAGTTAAAAGACCTTAATAGAATAAGTTCAAACCTTCTAAAATTAAAAGTATAAGAAGTGTAAAGAAGCATACATCAGAAGCAAACAAAATAACTATACCAGAATCTAGTAAAACAACTACAGAAAAATCAAATAAAAAAAATAACCAAATAATACAAGAAAAAGAACCAGATACTGATAGAAAATTATAATACAGATAGAAGAGTTAATTATAGAAAAGATCTTAAAAGAATAACTCCTAATACAAAAGGCTAAAGAAGTAGAAATAAATAATAAAATATCTAGACAAAACTCAACTTCAAAAAAAAAAAAGAAACACAAAACAGAAAAATAAATAAGCATACAAAGAGAAATAATAGAAGTACTATTAGAGCAAAGTATATAGGCATCAGAAAACAGGTTATATAAAAATGAAATACTAGCTAGTGCAAGAA